TGGGAGGGCCTTTATTACTGTTTCAATTTCTGTCTTAGTTATGGGTCTATTTAGGATTTCTATGTCTTCCTGGTTCAATTTAGGTAGATTGCATGTGTCCAGGAATCTATCCATTCCTGATAGATTTTCCTGTTTGCTGGCATATAACGCTTTGTAGTAGTTTCTGATGATTCTTTTTATTTCTGTGGTGTCTGTTGTTACGTTTTCTTTTTCATCTCTGATTTCATTGATTTGGGTCTTTTCTTTTTTAAGTTAGTTGGGCCAATGGGGTGTCAATTTTGTTTATTTTTCAAAAAACCAGCTCCTCATTTGGCTGATTTTTTGTAATTTTTTTTTGGATTCAATCCTGTTGATTTCTTCTCTGATTTTAATTATTTCTCTTCTCGTACTAGATTTGGGTCTGGTTTGCTGCAGTTTTTCTAGGTCCTTGAGATGCGCTGAAAGCTCGTTTATTGGGTACCTTTCCAATTTCTTTTTCTTTTTTTTTTTTTTTTGACAGGCAGAGTCGACAGTGAAGAGAGAGACAGAGAGAAAGGTCTTCCTTTGCTGTTGGTTCACCCTCCAATGGCCGCCGTGGCTGCGCGCTGCGGCCGGCGCACCGCGCTGATCCGATGGCAGGAGCCAGGAGCCAGGTGCTTTTCCTGGTCTCCCATGGGGTGCAGGGCCCAAGCACCTGGGCCATCTTCCACTGCACTCCCTGGCCACAGCAGAGGGGGCCTGGAAGAGGGGCAACCGGGACAGAATCCGGCGCCCCGACCGGGACTAGAACCCGGTATGCCGGCGCCGCTAGGCGGAGGATTAGCCTAGTGAGCTGCGGCGCCGGCCCCAATTTCTTGATATAGGCACCTATTGATATAAACTTGCCTCTCAATACTGCTTTTGCCATATCCCATAAGTTTTGATATGATGTGTTGTTATCCTCATTTACTTCCAGAAAGTTTTTGATATCTCTTTTGATTTCTTGAATGACCCAGTGTTCCTTCAGGAGCATGTTATTCAGTCTCCATGTGTTTTCATACTCTCTAGGGTTTCCTGAGTTGCTAATTTCCAACTTCATTCCGCTGTGGTCTGAGAAGCTGCATGGTATGGTTCTAATTCTTTTAAATTTGCTGAGACTTGCTTTATAGCCTAGTATGTGATCAATCCTAGAGAAGGTTCCATGTACTGCTGAGAAGAATGTAAAGTCTTTAGATGTAGGATTGAAAGTTTTGTAGATATCTGTTAGATCCATTTGGGCAATAGTGTCAATTAAATCTGCAGTTTCCTTGTTGATCTTCTGTCCAGATGATCTGTCAATTACTGAGAGTGGTGTATTGAAGTACCCCAGTACTATTGTATTGGGGTCTAAGTCTCCCTTTAAGTCCCTTAACATATCTTTTAAATAGACCGGTGCCCTGTAATTAGGTGCATATACATTTATAATAGTTACATCTTCCTGTTGAATTGAACCCTTAATCATTATATGTCCCTCTTTGTCTCTCTTAACAGTTTTTGTATTAAAGTTTATTTTGTCTGATATTAATATGGCTACACCTGCTTTTTTTGGTTTCTGTTGGCATGGAATATCTTTTTCCAACCTTTCACTTTCAGTCTGTATGCATCTTTGTTACAAGGATGTGTTTCTTGTAGGCCACAAATAGTTGGGTTTTGTTCCTTAAGCCAATCAGCCAATCGGTGTCTTTTAACTGAAGAGTTAAGTCCATTAACGTTTAATGTGACTATTGATACGTAATGACTTTGCTCTGCCATTTTCCCAAAGATATTTTCTAGTATATGCTTTGAGCTTCCTATGCTCTTTTACTGGTAAGTTTTCTTCCTTTACCTTCTTTCATATTGATGGCCATGTTTCTGCGTTTCTGAGTGTAGCACATCTTTAAGCATCTTTTGCAGGCCTGGACGAGTGGCGGCAAAGTCTTTCAATTTCTGTTTGCTATGAAAGTCTTTATTTCACCTTCATTCACAAATGAGAGCTTAGCAGGATATAATATTCTGGGCTGGCAATTTTTCTCTCTTAGCACCTGTGCTATGTCTCACCATTCCCTCCTAGCCTGTAGTGTTTCTGATGAGAAGTCTGCTGTGAGTCTAATTGGAGATCCTCTGAGAGTAATCTGTCGTTTCTCTCTTGCACATTTTAGGATCTTTTCTTTATGTTTCACTGTGGTGAGTTTAATTACGACGTGTCGTGGTGAGGATCTCTTTTGGTCATGTTTACTGGGGTTCTATGAGCTTCCTGTACTAGGATGTCTCTGTCCTTCTCCAAACCTGGAAAGTTCTCTGCTAGTATCTCACTAAAAAGGCCTTCTAATCCTTTCTCTCTCTCCATGCCTTCAGGAACTCCTAGAACCCAAATGTTGTTTTTTTAATAGTATCCTGTAGATTCCCAACAATATTTTTAGATTTCTAATTTCCTCTTCTTTTCTTTGGTTTGACTGTATGTTTTCATGTGCTCTGTCTTCTAAGTCGGATATTCTCTCTTCTGTTTCACTGACTCTGTTTTTTAGACTCTCTAATGTGTTTGTCATTTGATCTATTGAGCTCTTCATTTCATTTTGATTTCTCTTCACTATCACACTTTCCTGTTCTACTAGTTTCTGCTTTCATTTTGATTCTTCCTTAAAATTTCATTTTCATGAGAGAGATTTTCAATCCTGTCCAATAAGGATTTCTGTAGTTCAAGAATTTGCTTTTGAAAACTTCTAAATGTTCTTATCATAAATTTTTTGAAATCCCTATCTTGCCTTTCTTCTATCTCATCATCTTCATAATCTTGGCTTGGGGTGTTTTGTTTATTTGGAGGCGCCATAGTGTCTTCGTTGATCTTGTTCCATCGTTCTTTTTGTTTGTTGCTTGGCATTGTGAATTCTTCTTCCCTCAGTGTGAGTTTTTTTTTATTTACTATATCTGTGTTAAGTGGACTGTCTGCTGTTGGAGGAGCCTTGGAGGCTTGAGATGGGTGTGGCCAGAGAGCTCTGCTTGGTTCTTTAGGGTTAAGGGTGTGCCAGAGGTGACACCCTCAGGTTAGGTGTGGTAAATCTCTCTTTTTATTTATTTATTTATTTATTATTATTTTTTTTTATTCAGGAGGGAAGTAATACCACACAACTGAGCAGAATTGATGGTATTTAGCTTCCGATCTCTGGCTTCTATGTGTATATCATTCGTCTGCTTTTTCCAACAGACCACCCAAAGAATCTGTGCGGGCTTAGTTTCTCCTGCGGTCTCCCACTGTGTTGTCTAGGATACCGAATTGTAGCGTCTCTGGAGAGTACTTACGTGACCTCCGTGAGTTGTCTCACCCACTGTCTCTTTTTTTTCCCCCTGCCTCAGTTCATTAGCTCTACCCTTTTGTTACGTATATCCAGAATGGCACCTGCTCTTTGTCTCTTGCTTGCCTTTGCAAGGTCAGCGGAGAGAGAAACTCGCCCGTACCAGTACCCCCCCACTTTTTTTTTCTCTCCTGTAGTCAGTCTGGTAACTTTCCCGCCTCAAGCCCGCTTCCCTCTAGACTCGGTCCGCCGTTTCCCCTCCAATGTCTCGGGTTACTGAGCTCACCTCCCCTTCCAGTGCCAATGTGTGGACTTGGAGCCGTGGGCGTCCCTGCTCTCCCCGCTGGTCGTCTGTGTCACATCCACTAGATCTGGAAAGGTTTCCTCTGTATTTTTCCTCCAAGCCTTTCCCTGTGATTACTGTAATTCCTCTTTTATCAACCTATCTTTTCCTGGACTATCAGTGTGTGTCCTCACTATTCCGCCATCTTGGCTCCACCCCTTAATAGTTTTTGTGTTAGTCTATTTTGTCTGATATTAGAATGGCCATTCCAGCTCTTTTTTGGTTTCTGTTAGCATGGATTATTATTTTCCATCCTCTTTCAGTCTGTGTGCATCTTTGTTGGTAAGATGTGTTTCTTGTAGGCAGTAAATAGATTTTTTTTTAATCCATTCAGCCAGTCTGTGTCTTTTTTTTTTAATTTTTATTTAGTAAATATAATTTTCAAAAGTACAGTTTATGGATTACAATGGCTTTTTCCCTCCCATAACCTCCCTTCCACCCACAACCCTCCCATCTCCCGCTAACTCTCCCATTCCATTCACATCAAGATTCATTTTCAATTATCTTTATATTTAGAAGATCAATTTAGTATATTAAGTAAAGATTTCATCAGTTTGCACCCACTCTGAAACACAAAGTGAAAAATACTGTTTGAGTACTAGTTATAGCATTAATTCACATTGGACAACACATTAAGGACAGAGATCCCACATAAGGAGTAAGTACACAGTGACTCCTGTTGTTGACTTAACATTTGACACTGTTGTTTATGGCGTCAGAAATCTCCCTAGGCTCTAGTCATGAGTTGCCAAGGCTATGGAAGCCTTTTGAGTTCGCTGACTTTGATCTTATTTAGACAAGGTCATAGTCAGAGTGGAAGTTCTCTCCTCCCTTCAGAGAAAGGTATTTCCTTCTTTGATGGCCCGTTCTTTCTGCTGGGATCTCACTTGAAGAGACCTTTCATTTAGGGTTTTTTTTGTTATGTTTTGTTTTGTTTTCCAGAGTGTCTTGGCTTTCCATGCCTAAAATACTCTCATGGGCTCTTCAGGCAGATCCAAATGCCTTAAAGGCTAATTCTGAGGCCAGAGTGCTGTTTAGGGCATCTGCCATTTGATGAGTCTGCTGTGTCCAACTTCCCATGTTGGATTGTTCTCCCTTTTTGATTCTGTCAGTTAGTATTCGCAGACACTAGTCTTGTTTGTGTGATCCCTTTGACTCTTAGACCTATCAGTGTGATCAGTTGTGAACTGAAATTGATCACTTGGACTAGTGAGATGGCATTGGTACATGCAATCTTGATGGGATTGTGTTGGAATCCCCTGGCACATTTCTTTTTTTTTTTCTGAAAAGTTAACAATTCCTTAAATTTTTATTCCTGGTACCACTACCATAATTTACAGGGCAATATACCTGATGTAATGAAAAGAAAAAGAAAAGACAAAGCTACAACAGATTAAAGACCTCAGGAATATACATCTAATTGATACTACATTGCATTAATCAATAGCTGCACTTTTTGCAAACTGTGGCTATGACAGTCCTGAACAAGAAGGGTTTCCTGTTTAAGCTGCAGTAACTTTTCTGACTATGGCATCATTCCTTCTGTGGCAGATTTTTACAGTTCCTCTAATGCATTTGGGACGACTGTCTTAAAGTAACCTGCAGCTTTCCTGACAACTTCTCGCTCTCTCTCCTGCTAAGAACTGTAGCCCTTTTCTGTTTTTTTTTTTTTTTAAGAACCTTCTGCTACCATATCTACCACTACCACCACCAGATCCATAACCATCACCATAGGGACTGCCTGAGCTTCTTCCACCAAAACTGCCCCCTTTCATGGGCCCGTAATTTGATTGCTGTTGTCCACTATAATTACCAAAATCATTGTAGTTTCCACCACCACCATAGTTACCTCCAAAATTTCCTCCTTGATTGTAACCATCATATCCTCCTCCTCCACCATGTCCACCACCTTGGTTTCCATATCCTGGTCCACCACCATAGCCTCCTCTGCTGCTATAACCAGGACCACCACCATAGTTGCCACCATCACCTCCAAAACCATTGTAACCACCATCACCTCCTCCATAACTTCCTCTGCTGCCACCACCTCCACCACCATAGCCTCCTCTTCCACCAAAGTTTCCACCGTGGCCAAAATTACCTCCACCACCTCCAAAGTTTCCTCCACGACCCATAAAGTTGCCAGATCCCCCCCATGGCCTCTTGGTGATCCAGCAGCAGACTGCATCCCTTGTTTAGAAAGGGCCTTTTTCACTTCACAACTATGCCCATTAATAGTGTGGTATTTCTGAACAACGATTTTATCAACTGTATCATGATCGTCGAAAGTTACAAAAGCAAATCCTCTTTTTTTTCCCACTCTGCCTGTCTTCCATAATTTCTATGGTTTCAATCTTGCCATACTTCTCAAAGTAGTCTCTCAAATTATATTCCTCTGTATCTTCTTTAATACCACCAACAAAAATCTTCACCGTTAGATGGGCACCAGGTTTTACCGAATCCTCTCTAGAAACAGCTCTCTTTGGTTCCACAACACGCCCATCAACCTTGTGTGGTCGAGCACACATTGCTGCATCCACTTCTTCAACACAAGAGTAAGTCACAAAACCAAAGCCCCTGGAACATTTCATTTGGGGGTCTCTCATTACCACACAATCTGTGAGTGTGCCCCATTTCTCAAAATGTTCTCTCAAACTATCATCTGTAGTTTCAAAGCTCATACCACTAATAAACAGTTTCCTCAACTGCTCTGGTTCCTTTGGATCATGGCCCTCCTCTCCCCGGCAGCGGTGGCGACGGCCGGAGTCAGGCTGGGGGCGACCGGGCGGCGTTTTACCTCCTGGCACATTTCTAACTCCACCATTTGGGGCAAGTCATTGCGCATGTCCCAAATTGTACATCTCCTTCCTCTCTTATTCCCACTCTTATGTTTGACAGGATCACTTTTCAGTTAAATTTCAACACCTAAGAATAAATGTGTGTTGATTACAGAGTTCAACCAATAGTATTAACTAGAACAAAAAAATACTAAAAGGGATAAAGTATTAAATTGTACATCAACCATCAGGACAAGGGCTGATCAAGTCACTGTTTCTCAGTCTGTGTCTTTTTACAGGGGAGTTGAGACCATTTACATTTAGGGTGACTGTTGTTAAGTACCGACTTTGCCCTGCCATGTTTCCATAAATAGTGCTGTTCTTGTATTTTGGATTTCCTTTGTAGTTTTGCTGGATCATTTTCTGAGTTCATTTTCTTTTGTAGTGATGTTCCTGTTTCTGTGTAGCGCACATCTTAAAGAAGCTTGTTTCATAGGGTTGGGTGAGTAGTTACAAATTCTTTCAATTTCTATTTGTTGTGGAAGATCCTTATTTTCCTTCATTCATAAATGAGAGCTTTGCAGGGTAGTATTCTGGGTTGGCAGTTTTTTTCACTAGGACTTGGAATATATCTTCTTGCCATAGAGTTTCTGATGAGAAGTCTGCAGTGAATCTAATTGGATTTCCTCTGAATGTGATTTGCTGTTTCTCTTATGCACATTTTAAGATTTTTTTCTTTATGTTTTACCATTGAGAGTTTTACTACAATGTGTGGTGGTGAAGATCTTTTCTGGTTGTGCCTGTTAGGAGTTTTCTGTACTTCCTGTACTTGAATCTCTCTCTCTCCAGACGGGGGACATTTTCTGTTATTTCACTAAGAAGGCCTTCTAATCCTTTCTCTCTCCACACCTTCCTGAAATCCTAGGATCTGTATGTTGGATCGTTTGAAACAATCTTGTAGATCTCTAACCGTGTTTTTTAGTTTTCTAATTTCTTCTCGATTTATTTGGTCTAATATTTCCATAAATTTGTCTTCTAGTTTTGATATTCTTTGTTCTGTCTCACCTATTCTGTTGTTACTGCTTTCCACTGCATTTTTTATTTGATCTGTTGAATTCTTCATTTCTAGTATTTCATTCTGGGTTCCCTTGAATATCTCAATATCTTGAGTGTGCTTTTAATTTAGATCGTGAATTTGTTTCTAATTGCTTTGAAATAATCTGACAATTTTCTGAATTCCATTTCTGGCATATCCTTGATCTCTTCATCTTTCTGTTATGAAAGTGTTGTAGTAATTCCTTTGGGAGGCTCATAGTGTCTTCCTTATTCTTATTTAGGGTTTTTCCTTTGTATTTTGGCATTTTTGTATTTTTTCTTTTTTGTCTGGTTGGTTTTCTTTTTAATTTGTGTCTTAGTGCTTGTGGTGAGGTTTCCCTGTGAGATGAGCTGCTGTGTGTCTGCGTTGCAAGTGGAAGCACGCAGCCCTGCCTCCAGGAGCCCTGCTCACTTCTCAGTTGTGATGTGGGTGGGTATGAGCTCTGGTGCACTGGGCCCTGCCTACTGGGGCCTGGCTGGCTTCTCACTGGTGCGTGGAACGAGCTCCAGTTTTCAATATTCAGGACTTCTCCTGTTGTACAGCTTGCGTGGCGGGGAAGAAATTACTCTGAAATGTTGTGGTCCTTGGTCCTGGATGGGGCATGTGGTGAGGTGGCCCCTGTAATTGATGGGCCTGTGCACAGGAGGCAGAGGAGGCCGTTCCCTGCTTAAGTTGGAAAATGTAAGCAATGAACATGGCTTCTCCCAGCCAGCTGAGGGTCCAGTTGTGGGGATGGGGAGGTGTAGATGGGCAGCAGGATGCCCTACCTCTCTCTCTGTCCCTCTATACTTGCTCTTTTTCCCAGGTGGAATTTCAGTGCAGTTGGCCTAGTTCCCCCTCCCGCGATTTCCCATTTAACCTGTTGAGGGCTGGTGCCGGCCTCCCCGTCCCACCTCCATTGCGCCTCTGCCTTGCCTCTGCCGGGCCTCCATCAAGTCCCTTTCTTATTTGCTTCTTCAGTGTGGTCCTGTCCAGTCTCTGTTGGACTCCTAGGCTTCCCATCGTGAATTTCCCATGGCTCTGTCTCCGGCGTGTGTCCTCCCTCTCATTTTACTATCTAATTTGTCCTGTGTGACTCGGATCTTCCTGTGGGTATTTGCAATCTTGGGATCCTGCTCTCCGGCTTGCTTTCCACTTATAGCTTTGCACTGAGGTGGGTAGGAAGGAGTCTGAGGACCACCTGACCTGATGGCCTCCGATCACTGTGATATCAGAATCCAAAGAACAGTAATGGTGACACCCGTCCCCCATTCGATATCTCTTTCATAAATCCAGGTAAAGTGATTTATTAGCACAAATTACTTTTCCATGCTCGAGCACTTCAGGAAGAAGCACTAGCCTCTAAAAGGGGCCCTCTCCATGAGTGGAAAGGGATTTTTTCCCCCTGATTTGTAATCTTTTATTTCATTCTTTAAACACCATATGAGATAAAATTTTTTCTTTCCTTTTTAATTTTTATTTAATAAATATAAATTTCCAAAGTACAGTTTATGGATTACAATGACTTCCCCCCCCCTAACTTCCCTCCCACCAGCAACCCTCCCATCTCCCACTCCCTCTCCCATTCCGATAGCATCATGATTCATTTTCAATTCTCTTTATATACAGAAGGTCAATTTAGTATAAATTAAGTAATGATTTGAACAGTTTGCACCCACACCGAAACACAAAGTGAAAAATACTGTTTGAGTACTAGTTATAGCATTAATTCACATTGAACAACACTTTAAGGACAGAGATCCTACATGAGGAGTAAGTGCACAGTGACTCTTGTTGTTGACTTAACAATTGACACTCTTGTTTATGGCATCAGTAATCACCCTAGGCTCTTGTCATGAGTTGCCAAGGCTATGGAAGCATTTTGAGTTAGCCGACTCTGATCTTATTCAGACAAGGTCATAGTCAAAGTGGAAGTTCTCTCCTCCATTCAGAGAAAGGTACTTCCTTCTTTGATGGCCCGTTCTTTCTGCTGGGATCTCACTGGAAGAGACCTTTCATTTAGGTGTTTTTTTTTTTTTTTTTGCCAGAGTGTCTTGGCTTCCCATCCCTGAAACACTCTCATGGGCTCTTCAGCCAGATCTGAATGCCTTAAGGGCTAATTCTGAGGCCAGAGCGCTGTTTAGGGCATCCGACATTTTATGAGTCTGCTGTGTATCCCGCTTCCCATGTTGGATCATTCTCTCCCTTTTTTACTCTATCACTTAGTATTCGCAGACACTAGTCTTGTTTGTGTAATCCGTTTCACTCTTAGACTTATCAGTGTGATCAATTGTGAACAGAAATTGATCACTTGGACTAGTGAGATGTCATTGGTCCATGCAATCTTGATGGGATTGTATTGGAATCCCCTGGCACATTTCTAACTCCACCATTTGGAGCAAGTCCGATTGCACGTGTCCCAAATTGTACATCTCCTCCCTCTCTTATTCCCACTCTTATATCCAACAGGGATCACTTTTCAGTTAAATTTCATCACCTAAGAATAAATATGTGTTGATTACAGAGTTCAACCAATAGTATTAACTAGAACAAAAGAAAAATACTAAAAGGGATAAAGTATTAAATTGTACATCAACCATCAGGACAAGGGCTGATCAAGTCACTGTTTCTGATAGTGTCCATTTCACTTCAACAGGTTTCCTTTTTGGTGCTAGGTCAGTTGTCACCGATCAGGGAGAACATGATATTTGTCCCTTTGGGACTGGCTTATTTCACTCAGCATGATGTTTTAGATTCCTCCATTTTGTTGCAAATGACCGGATTTCATTGTTTCTGACTGCTGTGTAGTATTCCATAGAGTACATGTCCCATAATTTCTTTATCCAGTCTTCTGTTGATGGGCATTTGGGTTGATTCCAGGCCTTAGCTATTGTGAATTGAGCTGCAATAAACATTAAGGTGCAGACCGCTTTTTAGTTTGCCAATTTAATTTCCTTTGGGTAAAATCCAAGGAGTGGGATGGCTGTGTTGTATGGTAGGTTATATTCAGGTTTCTGAGGAATCTCCAAACTGACTTTCATGGGGCTTAACCAGTTTGTATTCCCACCAACAGTGGGTTAGTGTCCCTTTTTCCCCCACCTCGCCAGCATCTGTTGTTGGTAGATTTCTGAATGTGAGCCATTCTCACCGGGGTGAGGTGAAACCTCCTTGTGGTTTTGATTTGCATTTCTCTGGTTGCTAGTAATCTTGAACATTTTTTCATGTGTCTGTTGGCCATTTGGATTTCCTCTTTTGAAAAATGTCTATTGAGATCCTTGGCCCATCTCTTAAATGGGTTGCTTGTTTTGTTGTTGTGGAGTTTCTTGATCTCTTTGTAGATTCTGGTTATTAACCCTTCATCTGTTGCATAGTCTGCAAATATTTTTTCCCATTCTGTCGGTTGTTTCTTCACTCTCCTGACTGTTTCTTTTGCAGTACAGAAACTTCTCAATTTGATGTAAGTAATCCCAATTGTTAATTTTTTGCTTTGACTGTCTGTGTCTCCGGGGTCCAGAAAGGGATCTTAAAAGCTACATCAGCCAGTTTGGGATTGTGCCTTGGGCAACTGCATTTTTTTTTCAGTCTGCAGGTCAGTCTTACATTTTATGATCACTAGATGACAGTATAACACTAAGCAAAAGATCTAGGAAACCCATTCTTCCCCAACTTCAGAGCAACCTTAATGTACTCTTTAAATTATTTATTTATTTGAAAGGTTGAGAGACATAGAGATATCTCCCATCTACTGGTTCACTCCCCAGATGTTTGCAACAGTCGCTGGGTCATGCTGGAGCCAGGAGCCAGGAGGAACTCCTTAAAGGTTTTCTTTGTGGGTGGTGGGAACCCAACTACTTGAGCCACCGCTTAGTGTCTCTTAGAGTGTCCATTAGCAAGATGCTATGATGTAGAGCAGAGCTGGGATGTAAAGCCAGGCATTCTGATATGGGATATGCCTGCCA